TTTTTTTTTTTTTTCTAGTATGACATTTGCTAATGAAAGTTTGCATATTTTTTAAAAGAGAATGTAGACCTACTAGTTAAACCCGCCTAACACGAGACCAACCGAACTTTCTTAGGTTACTTGAATTTGTCATATCTTGTAACGGTATGGTGCTGCAATAGATAGATGCTAGTGTTTCCTTTTTCCTGCTGATTTTACTATTAACTTGTTAAATCTGCAAATTTAATCATGGGAACCTGTTTTGTTTTTGAAGTGTCTTTTGTTTAACACTCTATTATATTGCATTAATATTATTCTCCTTCCGTTATTCACTACATAGGGTACAGGCCGAGTTATATATTTGAATAGTGCCTAAAAATAAGGTGAATGCTGCACAACAAATGGTTTTATACTAGCATGAATATACATATATCTTTTAGCTATTATGAATTACCAGCCAATTGATTAAATGTTGTTTCAACAGTTTAAGTGCCTGTGTTGATAATGCCGTGTTACAATTAAGATGAATATCAACAATTACGTAGTTCAGTTGATGGTACTAAAATGGTGTCACAAATTCTTGTTTGAGGCAGCGTAACTGTTAGGTAGATCGACCCGCCATACTCAATGAAAAAAAGTGCTTACTTGGTACTATCAAATGTGATACTTGCTATTGTGTCTAGTTTATGTCTTCTTATCTACCCCATCTTATTACATGCTAAAACATAATTGTTTTTCTGAATTGACTTAATGTCTATCTGTATTTGATGAACTTTTGAGTTGAAATGTGAAACGATTCAGCACTCAAACGGCTGATTTTTCCATTTGATGCTCCTCTTTCAATGCACTTAAAGAATATACCGAAACTTGTCCCTTTTCCTTCTGTTTACTAAAAGCAATATATTCTTAACAGATTCCTAATCAACCCTTGGTCTCGGTGCACCATCTTACAACTGCAGGTATGTTATATTTTTTTTAGCCGTAAAAACATATGCTGTCTCTCTTGAGTTTTTTCATATTTCACTGTATCGTTTATGGTTTATTTTACGCTGTGTTTGTTGCAGCACGTCGAGGATATGGTTTGCGAGCAGTAGTTTAGGGGAAGTAAATCTGATTTTCCTTTGTACCTGGAGCTATATCTTGTATATGGACCGTATTTTGCTTTCATTTCATGTTTTATCTTGTGTTTGCTTGCTTTGTAACGCTTTTTTTACTTGTATGGTAAATGGATTTTAATTTGCATACACATGTGTTCTCTCAGAGTTTTCTTTTGTTTTGAACTATCTTCCTTGGCTATGTCTGAAAAATAATTATACTATAATTATGCTAAAATAATATGAGATTAAAAACTATATCCACTACAAAACTTATTAGTTTTTTTTGTTTTTTTTTTCTTTGGGTTTACGTTATATTTTATCTTGTATCCACTCATAAATTTAAAAAAAAAATATTTTTTTGCCTCTTTATAATCCCAAATTCAGATTAATTTGGTATGACATCTAATAAGATCATCCACAATGGCATAAGGCTGTTTTACTTTAGATCACATAATAGTGGGCTTAAGTAGGGCTAGCATTTTCTAATCGAAAATCAAATCAAACCAAACTAAATCGACGAGAAAATAAAATGAACCGTACCTAACCGCTTGTAACGGTAACCGACTATCGGTTACCAAATCACTATCGGTACGGTATTGGATTGAACCTATAAGAGTTCGGTAAAACCGATACCGAACCGATAAGGTAAAAGAAAAATTAAAACAAAGATTTTTTTTTTTTTAAATATTAAAAGAAGGATTAGATGTTTAGTGTTCACAAATTTAAATAAGTGCTCAATCCTACCTAGATCTCAAATGACGAGAAAAATACCACTAGTCATCACCTCATTCACCTTTTAATCGGAAGATTGTCAGTTTATCAGTCTCACTCTTTTTAAAAAAGATGCTACCGTTACTATAGTTTATTCTCGTACCACCGTTACTAGATAAATTAGTTAAAGTTGTATCACAAATTTTATTTCTTGCATGTTAGCAATATTGTTTTATTAGTTGCGTTTACCACAAAAACAATAATCTAATTATATTTAAGTTAACTTCTATATATTAAATTTAAACTTTTTAATCTTTCAATGGATTTGTGATTCTTTTGTGTGTATTTTATAGGTAAGAGGTGAAAAAATTACAAAAAATGACAAGAAAAGTAAACACTAATATTTTTTTTGTGTGCTCAAAATCAGTTCGGTTTTTTTCCGGTATAAAACCGATAACGAACCGAAATCGAACCGATTTTTTGGTTACCGAATTTTTGGTAACCGACTTTAATCAGTTCGGTATCGGTTTTTCATTCCGAGTTACCGACATTATCGGTACGGTATCGGTATACGCTTATCGGTTCGGTAAACGAACCGATACCACCCCTAGGCTTAAGTGTACATGACTTGAGATCAAACAAAAAATGGACACTCCAATATAGTATTTTAAAGTTGACTCAGTGATCCAGTTTTGCTATGGAGCTATTGGATGACACGACTTATGGAGTCATCTGCGCTTATTCATAAATAGTGTATTTACATGTGTCCTGCAATATACATATTTTAGACATGTGCCAATATATTAAGTGATGGATGACTGCATAAAAAAACATCCGATGATTCAATAGATTTTTTGTAATCCAGTTTGCTATAACTCTGCAAATAGTTAATAGCAATAGGACTTTTTACCAACAACCCATAATTCATTACATATAAATACTTCATTATTTATATATATAATTGTCAGCGAATTTATAAATTTTATTCAACCAACAATTAATAATAATAATAGTTCATATTATAAAACTGTGTTCATTTAATAAAAATATGTTCACCATTTAATAAAATACATAATTTTCAGTTATACAATTTATTTTGACACATCTCTTTTTAGATGATG